TTTCTTTTCTGTGCAAATAAATATTTGAACAATGAACAATCAAACCCTACTCTGGATTAGAATTGTAAAATGTATTCAGTCATTGTACTGGTTCTGTATTCATCTACGGACACATTAAGCAGTCCATGCCTGCGGTTTTCTGTACTGTATGTTGTCTGCTTGTTGATGTTCCCCAGTTTTGACACTAGAGGGCGTAAAAAGTCATGTTTTGAACTCCCCTACAACGTGTCCATTTCAAGCCACTTTGCCAGCTTTTCTCTAAATTCATGCCATATCTATTAATAGATGCCCCTTACGTTGACCTCCTATATAGAAATGATTGAACGGAGTGTTGAACTTTGGGGATTTCTACTGTGCAATACTTGTATATCTGTATCTGGTGCAGCAAACAGTGTGCGGATGTGAATACGGATGCAAAGTCTGTCACATTGAGGAAAAAGAATTGCAAGCTGATGTGCGGTCAATCTATCAAAGTATAACAATGCTTTGGGTTTTCACACCACACAGTGCAGCTAACCAGGTCTTTCCTATTCTCACCACACAATGCGCTGAAAAGGGAATTCACCCCTCTTCTTCAGTGATGGAAACAATAAACACCAAACAATGTGTCCTTGAGTTATCTAGCAGTAATTATGACCCTTGTGTTTCTGGTTTACATGCTAAATTGCTGTTAGATGTTATTAGGAATGAATCAAAGAACCCTGTGAGGAAGATATCATTCAGAGTATGTTGTAACCTATAAGAGCAGGGAACAATAAATCTTACAGCACCGGAAGTGTTTGTTTCCTATGGGGGGCTTTATACAACACACAACGTGGGGATATTACTCTCTGGGCAACACTTCACAGGTTTTTGTTTGGACCACCTGTGCTGTGTGTGGGGACTGCGCTTTGCTGTAGTTCTCTGAAGGAACAACCTCACTTCACTGTACACACATACACACAAATATACACACATGCACACCCACACAGGCTGCAGGTGCATGGTGAGTGTTATTGAGTGTGTCCTGGTTACTAACTGCTATTTCTCTTTATACTCCCTTCTTCTGGTTTTCCATCAGCCCTTGTTTTCTTCCCAGGGCCTTGGCGGATGCTTGTGTACAGCTCTGTTGGGGTCCCCAGACATTGCATCCTGCCTGCAGAAGGGTCATAAGTGGCCCCACAGGATAACCTGAACAACGGTGGGAAAGACAGGGAGCGTGGGTCTCCTTTACTAACGTGGTCCTGGCTACCTCTGTGCCAAAAGCATACATGCTGCCAATGAGCGCTTTCAATATCCATTATCAGTGTGAGTGTGCACTGCATGTGACTGAAAATGTTTGCTCATGTGCTTATGTGTGTGAAAGTGGGGCCAAACAGGACATTCATTATACCCAACACAGATTATAAATTGAATATTTAGAAGTGCTCAGTCAGTGTTGTTTCAAGGCTTTGATTTATTCAGACAAACACAAACACACACACACACACACACACACACACACACACACACACACACACACACAGACACACACACCTATCAACACACGGCACACACTTTCCTCAATTTTGATCCCCCTCTACATCACAAGAGGCCCCTCTTTGACTTCCTGTCTGTGTGGGAACCATTTCTATCCTCTGTCACACATGGAGTGAGAGAAGGTCTCGCTCCTGCATTTGCCTCTCAAAGACAAAGTGATTGTCAATAAACAAGGAACAATTGAACGCCCCCATGCATTCAGCAGGCACTTCTGCTGTTCCTCTGGGATGTGTCATGAGTTTTGGGAGAAACTCACTTTTCCTCTTGCTTTCCCTGCATTAGACAACAGATATTAAGCACACTGGTGAAACTGTTTTGTAACTTTATTTGTAGGATTTACTGTAATGGAAGCATTTCCTGCATGTTTCAAGGCATTTCAGTGCATGTATAATAATATGCCAGCCTTCATACTGTGTTCTGCTTATTTGTGTTTCACATTAGAGTAAAATTATCCATTACTATGATATTTTAGGTACCAAAAACAAGCATTTTCCCCAGTTAAAGGGCACCTGTCACACTCTTTGTTTAAAAGACACATCTGCAGTCTGCACTAATGGAGTTGCATGGGAGCAAGTCTATGCAGCTGTTCCAGAGGCAAGTTGCTATGAGGTAAACATGGCTGCGGGAAAGCCCCTTATTATTGTGCTCCGGATGACGTTCCTCACTCTTCCAGTGTTTACCGTGGAAATAACTCTGTGCCAGCGAGCAGGTGCTTCCTCAAAAACTCTTTGCTTTTCCAGAAGATTTGAGGGTTGAATTCATTTCACCAAATCAAACAGCATTAATGAAAGAGGTAATATATTGAGTAAGGTGTATATGTTGTGTTTTATTAACTGTTGTGTTTTTTCACCATATACATTTAAATCAGGTTAAACTCAGCGTTGTTTATGACCTCTAGTCCTTCAATCAATGGTGCATTACACTCACATACTTTCACATGAATGTGGCCAGTCAGCAATGTGAACCTGCTGACATATGTAACTGTACCTTCTAACAATTTTACTTACTAAACAGCTATACTTTTTTTTTTTTAAGGGAACAGTAGGAGGCACTGTTCTTGCTTAAGTTGCCTGGACTGATTGACATCTCCCTCACTCTCAAGTTGGTTTTGTTGCACCTTTTTCATTCTTATTAATGTGGTGTAGTTTGGTCATGTGACATAATTCCCAACATGGCTCCACTCACTCTCCTCTCACCTGAGCAGAGGTCTAACTAGCCAGACTAGTAAATTGATAACACTTATGGATATGCAGGCCTTCAAACCCAAACCGAACTGTTATTTCTAAGAATTCTAAAATTCAAAGCCCTGACATGTTACCAGCTGGTTGTTTAAGCTATCACATTACACACGTTGTCACACATCCAGCAGACATGGGGAAACACTGAAGTTTATTCAAAACACCTGCCTGCTGCTGCTTGAAGTAGGTTAATGAGATTCAACCATATAGTAAATTGTTGGCCAGTAAAACCAAAACATTATTGAGGGGCAGAGCTATATAGCTTTACTATCACCAGGTGACCTCCTGACCAGGTGATCTAACCGTACTATTTTTTCTACTTAAAGATTTAGTGGCATCTAGTGGTGAGATTGCAGATTGCAACAAACTGAAACCCCTTGACTCATCCAAGCGCGAAGATGAAACTACGGTAATCACGAAAGGACCTATCTAGAGCCAGTGTTTAGTTTGTCCATTCTGGGCTACTATAGAAACATAACAGTTCAACATGGCAGACTCCGTAGAAGGGGACCTGGTCCCTTTGTAGATAAAAACTGCTCATTCTAAGGTAGAATTAATGTTGCAATCAGGCAGCAGATGTTGTAAAAGGGAATTTAAAGGCTACATGCAATGTTCTTGACTCAGTAAGACAGCTTGAGAAGAGTTGCCTGCCCCTCACTGTGGTGTTATGCAGTCAATCAGAGTGACACCAATTATGTATGTCACATGACCACAAGAGACTGCAAATGGAAACTCTGAGAGAGGCACATCCATCAGCTCCGTCTAATGGGGCTCACGGTAGAAGAGGAATGAATGAAGTCTCAGTAGACAGACTCACGCACTCATTCACCATACCTTCCATAGAAGTTGATTATACTCATGGGATATATGTTATGTACAATTCAGAGTCAGTAACCTGTAGTCATTGTTGTGCCCACAATATACTGAGTAGTTTTTACTGTTCATTATGATCTTTTAACACACTGATAGTCACGTTGTGCTCATTCAGTGACTCTGTGTATGAAACATAAATATTTCTTTCCAAGAATGTGACACATTTTCATGTTCCAAATAATGGATTTGTAAAATCAAAATGTTCTTTTCTTACAGTGCTTTAGTTCACTTAGTGAAATGATTTGATGATTTTGAATTGTATGTCTCACAAAAGAATAACAAAGATGACTTTATAGTACATTTAATTTCACACATAATACATAAATACAGTACATTCAGCAAAGGTGATGACATCTGTGCCACAGAGAATAATGTATGTTCTCACTGAATGGTCTAAAATACAGAACAAAAGGAGAGCCTGTCATGATACATAAAACCCTGCCATGACTTTTGCTACTTTCAAGAGATATTTGTGTTTATTTGGTATAGAAATTATTTAAAGCTATAGTTTTCTGATGGAATTGTAGAGATGTTTACACTGTTAATCATCATCCAGTTTTACTCTTTATACCCAGCACTAAAATACTGCCATGAACAGGACTGTATCTGTACAATAGTAAGTTAAACATTCAAATTGAATATTATCAGCATTTTCTGGCTTTCCAGTATTACAATATTAACTAGAAAAATATATAATTTATTTCAGATTTTAACCTTGGTACCATAAGTCTTCAGAGAATGCTTTTAATTAGATAAAACACATTCAGAGACTCGCTGAATCCTCCAAAAGAATGATGAGCAGCATAATGGTGTAAATATTCATAAATAATTTGAAGACAAACTACAGAACATGTGCATGTAGTATATTTTTCATTAATGTAACAGTCATAGATTCTATTGAGTACTTTTTAAGCATAGTTTATAGTGTAATGTTCTGTCTGAGGCTCAGAGTTGCAGTAACAAATACTCTACGAAAATAAGTACCATTTAGCTTTGCATAAAAAGTACGCAAACCCCCAACATATAGTATATACATTCAAGTTTTTAAGATTTCTTATCATACAACTGTATGATCAGTAGTAGTTGTGCATGTGTTTATGCTTAGCATTAGAAATGCTGGGGGAAAAAAGTGCACTTCTTTAGTGCTTGTTTACTGAGAACTCAAATAATCTAGATGAACTCTTGTTTTCTTCACTTTACAGTTCTTGTTACGTCTTCTCTGGCAGACTTAATGACTTAAAATGACAAGAATGGCTTCAGACGGCTCATAATTAGCTGCCTTTTTGTTTTTTCCAACTGCAGACTCCTCGTCTTACTCCTGTATCACACTCAGTTCCCCCGAGCCTTTCCAGAGTCACACTCAATTTAGGATTAAATCTTTTTCAAAGTCTTGGACTCGAGGCTTGTAACTTCTTCTTGGCTGTTCATTTCAGTCTCAGAATCTTCCACATCAGCATAAGCGCCATCGTCAGATTCTGCAATCACTTTGTTCAAAGTATCAAGTGGGTTTAATGTTGTTTCCTGAGGTGCTTCTCTAGCTGCTTCTTCATCATCTGTCTTGCTTGGAACAAAATCTTGATCTCCATCGTCAGTTTCTTCCTCTGCGTCGTCTGAATCCTCCTCTGCCTCATCTTCTCCATCAGCTGAATCTCCTTGGTTTCCATTCCAGTGTTCATTGGCTGTCACAGTTTCCTCCTCCTCTTTTTTGGAGTCTTCCACATTGTCCTCATTATTATCATGGCTTCCCCTTGGGATGTTAATACATTCACATTGTGTCACAGTTGTCTGCTCATCATTATCTTCATCTACATCTTCCAGTGGTATGTTTTCTGATATTTCCTCCACATCCTCATCCTGATCTGGCTTCAGCTCCACCACATCATCTGGGCCTTCTGTTTCATCATTTGTCTCAGTTAAAGCATCTTGGGGTTCTTCAGTCATGTCACTTTCTTTGCATGTTTGTTTGGCTTTGTCAGGTTTAGTCTCAGATTCACTGACAGTATTCTCCACAACCTCTTCATCTTCCCCTTCTGTGAGTTGCTGTCTGTAATCTTCTGCCGATTCATCTTCTCCATTATCAGTGGATTCTTCCCTTTCAGTAATCTCGTTCCCTGTCATTTCAGGCTCTCCAGATTCCTCTTCTGTTGTTTCATGTTCATCAATTTCATCTCCTGTTGTTGCAGCCTCTGTGCAATCCTCACCTGTTGTTCCATACTCCCCAGCACTTTCATGTTCAGCCTCTCCTGATTCCTCTCCGGTTGTTTCGCCTTCTACTAATTCTTCATTGTTAGATTTATTATCTTCTTCTTCACCTTTTTCTTCAGTGGCAGTGTTTTCTGCATTTTTTTCAGATGAGTCTGTCTTATGGAGCTCTTCGGCTGGTTCCGCTTCAGCACGTTCTGCCTCACTTAAAGTTTCATTTTCATCAGTAGCCACATTATCCTCTTCTGCATTTTCATCTTCTCCTGCAGTGTCATCTACAGTCTCGTTCTCAGGCTTGGTTTCTGAAAGCTCTTCTCCTGATTCATTATCATTTGTAAAGTTTGTAGATTCCTCTTCACCTGCACTCTCGTTTGCGTCAGTTGTTGTGTTGTTTATTGATTCATTTTCATCTGTAGCTGAATTATCGCTCTCATCCTCTGATTCATTTTCAGTCACAGCTTTGGAGCTTTCTTCTGTCACTTCTCTTTCTTTGTCCATGGTTTCTTCCAACTCGTCTTCATTTGATTCATCGTCAGCTTTACTGATTTCCTCTTCACCCAATTTTTCATTTTCTGTCGCTACTTCAACAGTCTCTTCCTTGCTGTCATCCTCATCTGTGGTTGTTGCTGCTGCCTCCTCTTTGTCAGATTCATATTCAGTTGTGTCTGCTACATCTTCTGCTGCATTTTCCTCTTCAGCCACGGTGGCTTCACCATCTTCAGTAATCTCATTTTCAGTTGTTTCACCCATTTCCTTCTCATCTGATTCAGACCCATCTGCACTGGTGGCTTCCACAACTGCATCAGATTCATGTTCAGTTGTGGCTCCAACATCAGCCTCTTCTGCTGCAGCCTCATCTTCACTTGTGACAGCTATGTCTTTTTCCACAGCACTTTCATCCTCAGCTGTTGTCGCCTTATCATTGTCTGCAGTTTCATCTTCGTCATTTGTGGTGGCAGCCTGTTTTCCATCTTCAACCTCCCCTGCTCCCACATCCTCCTCCTTGTCAGATTCATCTTCAGTTGTGGCCGCGACATCAGAATCTCCTGCTGTATTTTCATCTTCATCTTTGTTGGCTTCTGCAAGCTCTTCATTTGATTCATCTTCACTTGTGGCTTTGACCTCTTTTTCTGTAGCAGACTCATCTTCAGTTGTTGCTGCTTCAGCTGGTTCCTTTGACAATTCATCACCTGTGGCATCATTCTCCTCTGCATTCTCATCATCATCACTGGTGGCAGCAGTCTCTTCTCCATCATTAACCAACCCTCCTTCCACAGCTTCTTCTTCATCAGTTTCATTTACAGCAGTCTCTTCTGCTGTAGTTTCATGTTCAGCAATCTCTTCATTTGATTCACCATCACTTGTGATCTCTTTCTCTACAGCCATTTTATCTTCAGTTTCTGATTCTTTAGTCGGTTCTTTTGATGATTCATCAGCTGTGTCTGTGTCACTGTTGTCATATGCGGACTCATCTGCATTGGTGGAAGCAATCTCCTCCTCATCATCGGCTGTTCCTTCTTCCATAGCCTCATCTTTTTCTGATTCATGTTCACTTGTGGCTGCCATAGAGGTCTCTTCTGCATTTTCATCTTCAGCTGTGGTGGCTTCAGCTACTTCTTCCTTAAGTTCATCCTCACTTGAGACAGCAATCTCCTTTTCTACGACAAGCTCATCTTCAGTTGTTGCATCTTCACCTGTGGCATCATTCTCCTCTGCAGTTTCATCTTCATTTGTGGTGGCATCTAAACTCTCTGCAGAATTATCAGCAGCCTCTTCTTTTGATTCATCTTCACTTGTGACAGCTATCTCTTTGTCTGCAATGTCATCTTCAGTTTCTGCCTTTGCAGCTGTTTCATCAGCTGTGGTTGTGTCATCATTCTCATCTGACTCATCTCCAGTGGCAGTCAGACTCTCTTCATCCACAGCTTCCTCATGCTCAGATGCATTTTCAGTTGTGTTTTCATCTTCGGCTGTCTCTTCCTTTGATTCACTTGTGACAGCAATCTCCTTTTCTGCAGCCATCTCATCTTCAGCTGTTGCTTCTTCAGCTGGTTCCTTTGACAATTCTTTCCCTGTTTCATCCTTTTCCTCTGCAGTTTCATCTTCATCTAAACTGTCTGCAGAAATATCATCACTGGTGGCAGCATTGTCTTCCACATCTTCAGTTGCCCCTGCTACCACTGCCTCCTCTTTGTCTTCAGACATCTCATCTTCAGTTTCTGCCTTTTGAGCTGTTCCCTTTGATGATTCATCAGCTGTGGTTGTGTCATCATCCTCATCTGCAGACTCATCTGCAGTGGTGGCCAGAATCTCTTCTTCCAAAGCTTCCTCATGCTCAGATTCATTTTCAATTGCAGCTGCCACAGCAGTCTCTTCTGCTGCGATTTCACCTTCTGCAGTCTCTTTCTTTGATTCGTCTTCACTTGTGACAGCAAACTCTTTTTCTACAGCCATCTCATCTTCAGTTGTTGCTTCTTCGGCTGGTCCCTTTAATGTTTCATCAGCTGTGGCTGTGTCATTGTTCTCATCTGCAGACTCATCTGCACTTTTGGCAGCAATCTCCTCGTCATCATCGACTGTCCAGTCTTCCACTGCCTCTTTGTCAGATTCACTTGCTGCTGCCATAGTCATCTCTACTGCTGCATTTTCAGATGCCTCTTCTGTTAGTTCATCTTCACTTGAGACAGCAGTCTCTTTGTCTACAGCAAAATCATCTTCAGTTGTTACAAACTCCATTGGTGCCTTTGACGAGTCATCAGGTGTGGCTGCGCTATTGTCCTCATCTATAGAATTATGGTCCCTGATCGCAGGAATCTCTGCGTCATTATCAACCATCTCTGCTTCCACAGCCTCATCTTCATCTTCAGTTGTGGCTTCTGCATCAGTCTCTTCTGCTTCATTGTCATCTTTGTCTTCAGTTGTCATAAACACTGCAATCTTTCCTGCTGTATTTTCATCCTCAGCTGTGGTGGATTCAGCAGCGTCCTCCTCTAATAAATCTCCAGGTGTGTCTGCTTTCTCTGTCTCTACCATGGATCCATCTTCAACTGTGCCTATGTCTACACTGTGTGCCCTTTCATCTGTTACTGTTTCTTCAGCAACAGTCTGTTCAGTCAATTCTTTGATGGTGTCTACTTCCTCTGCTTCATTGTTTTCAGACCTATCTCCTTGACCTTTATCTTGACACACATCAGTTGCTTCCTTTTCATTCATTGCTACAACTTCAAAGTCATTTTCAGTGTCACAATGTAATTCATCCTCTTCCACTTCTCTTACTGCATTGAAAATTACTTTTTCTACAAGTGTTTCTGCTGCTTGTGTGTCAGTATTATTTTCAGAGTGAAATCTACAGTTGATTGCCAGTGTTTTGTCCGGGTCGCAGTTCTTCATCACCAGAATCCTCTTTAGGTCAAAGTCTATGACAACAGGTGCAGTATTCCTAACTTCTGCAGGAAGTGGTCTAGATGTCATTTCATTCTTAATGCATGTTTCACATGGACAGTATTCATCATCGTTTTCACTGCGCTGGTCACTGTAAGATGTGCCTGTTGCTGAGTCGTCACTTTTTTCTGCTTTGGGATCAACTGATTGTTGGAGCATAATCTTCAGTCTTCTTCTTCTCTCATCTGTTTGTGTTGTTGAAGCACGGGACATTGCTTCTTTAGGAGGTCTTGGTAGGCCTTGTCGACCTTGAATTTTCCTCCGTTCTTTGTCTATACTTTTTTGGATTCTTTTCTGGACCTCAGTTTTAAGTTCACTTATCATCATGTCAAGCTGCTCATTATCATCCAAGTTCCATCGGACTTTGAATTCTCTCATTGCATTGATATAATGTGTCATGAACTGCTTTTCTAGTTTAGTTAATAAGGTTAAGACCCAAGCAGGATCAGGATCTTGAGAAATCCTTTTGACTAACTGTGCTCTTTCAACGAGGGAAAGACTCTCAGGACTGGTGTCCTCACGAGATTCGGTTTCAGTTTCCTCTGGAGGTTTCTGGCCATTGCTGTCAGTTCCTGAACTGTTGTTTGAGGAGGGTGGTGTTTCAGGTAGTTCCCTTGGACTATCATTGCTTCTGATTGTTTCATCAGTTTCTGGATTATCCTCTTTTTCTTTTTTCTCATACATTCCTTCTACTTCTCTCTCACATGTCCATTGAGCATCTGTTTCTACTTCACCTTCACAGACTTCTTGTATTTTCCTTAACGTATCTGCACTGGTATGTGGTTGAGGCACAACATTCACACCGTCGCTACTCTTTCCAGAGCCCGTTGAGCCACTGTTGACATCCACACCAGAGGATGACGTATGATTGAATTCATCATCCACAAAATGGTGATGATCTTTCTCTAACATGTGTTCATTTTCTGGAGGATCACAAAGCCAAAGGGACTGAAGAATATTCATTAGCTCTTGGTATCTTGCATCTTTTTCATTTGCAGTTATTGGATTATTGTCTATTAATTGCAATTTCACAAGGCAATCTAAAAGACCTCTAGCTGAAGTGCTTAGTTTACGTCCATACACTGGAGAAATTTCTGGTAAACTGTTACATCTGTCAAGCTTTGGACTTAAAAGTACTTTCATCACCTGTATGGAGGAGTTGAACATTTTGGAGTCATCGTCTGTCTGAGGACAGGTATTATCTGCATTTGGAGCTTCTGTATTAGTTTCGCAGTCATTATTAGGGACAGTGTTTATCTCAATGCCTTCATTTGTGTCTTTTGTATTCTCAGCTGCAGATTCATCATTGTTTTCATTATCCTCTATTCTATTAATTTCTTCTGTTGTGTGGCCAGTTATTTGTCCACCACAGTTTTCATTAAATTCCTCCATGTCATACATATTACCGTCTTCTGGTATTGTTTTCAGCCATTCATTCACGACCTCAGTAGGGGATGCATTTGGTAGACTAGATGGGACCAGCTTCAAGTCATCAGTAGTTGTATTCTCACGTCTGCATTTGCTGCTTTTGTCACTTTTGTTATCAGTGACACTCATTCCGTCCGTAGCTTCCAGTGGACCATTTGCTATCCTCTTCGACACATTGGATTTTGTTTCTTCCGTGGCTGGAGTCTCACATATTTCTTTGGCAATATCCAAACTGGATAGAGTTTGTGACAAATCACTTTCACCTGACTCTGTGTGACAAATCACATGATGTTCTTTTCCTTTAGTTTTTTTTATGTTTTGACAGGTTTCTGACACAGCAGAATTTGTAATAGACTTTTGTTTGGAATTAACCTCTGCATTTTTTGAGCTTTGCCTGCTTGACTTGCTCGTTTTAGAGTGACAACTCCTCTTATCAACTATATCTTGTTTCTCTTCCTCATGCAAACTAGATGTGGGTTTACTCTCGTCTTCACGATTCACAATTTCCCCTGAATTTATTGGAGAGACAGTTGTCTTCTCATCAGCAGGAACATCAACAGCTGTGGACATCTTCAATACCTCTTTTACCACATTTTCCTCTGTAACAATATCAGTTACTTTGGATTTTCGGGATTTTGTTGACAGATTTGACTTGACAGATAAAGAACTTTGAGGCTGTCCTTCTCTTTTCTTTTCTTTACCCTCAGATGTTGACTTCTTTGAATGTGCTGAAACCTTAGACTTTGAAGACATGGCTGTAGGTGCTCTGTCTTCACTTTCCTCAACTGTCACAGCAGGGACTTCAGACATGCGTAACATTTCAGATCGGTGGGATTTTACTGACACAGGGCTCAGGGTTCTCTCCTCCTTTTCATGAGTATGTTCATCAGTAGGCACATCAGATACTTTTGATTTCTTTGATCTCATTGACATATTTGACTTTGCTGACATGGCACTTAAAGCTCTCTCAGATTTCTCTTGTGGAGTTTCTGGACCTTCTGGATCTATAGATTTTTTTGATTTTGATGAATTTTTAGATTTTGCTGATTTAACTGACATTGCACTATGCGCTCTTACATCAGTTTCATCATTTCCAGTCCTTTCACTAGGCGCAATTCCAGATACATTTGACTTCACTGACAAGACACTTGGAGTCCTCTCCTCAGTTTCCTCAAAATCAGCTGCAATTTCTTCAGCTGAAATGTCAGTTGTTTTTGAAGGACTTGATTTTCCCGATTCGGCAGATGGTGAGCTCTTTCCTCTCATCCCAGTGTCTTCTTCAGTGTTTTCATCAGTAGTGTTGGCAGCATCTTCAGCAGGAACCTCAGAAGCTTTTGATTTCTTTGATACTGCTGAAGCATTTGACTTCCTTGAATTTGCTGATTTGATGGAGGTACTGCTTGGTGCTCGCTCCACAGTATCCTCATGAGTTTCTTCCCCTGGAGTATTAGAGGCTTTTGACTTACCAGACTTATTTGACTGTGTCGATTTGGCAGATCTGGCTGATTTAACTGACAGGGTGCTTTGTGGTCTTTGTACAGTTTCCTTATCAGTCACAGTTTTTTCTTCTGAAGGTACTTCACATTTTGTTGTACTCCTCGATGCAACAGAAATATTTGAATTTGTTGATTTGGTTGACATGTTGCATGGCGATCTCTCCTCTGTTTCTGCCTCATTTTCTTCACCAGGATTACCAGCAGAAGCATTTGCAGTATTTGCTTTAAAAGTCACAGATTTTACAGTAACATTTGATTTGACTGATTTAGCAGACATGCAACTTGGTGCTCTCTCTTTGTTTTCCACTTCAGCACTTCCTTCACTTGAAAATGTGCCCTTTCTTTGAGATAGTACAGAGGCATCTGATTTTGCAGATCTATTTGACATAGCACTTGCTGCTCTCTCTACAGGTTCATCATGCTCTGCACCATATTCTTTAGCCAGATCATCTGAGACTTCTAACTTGCTTGATTTAACAGACATGGCTGACTGTGTGGATTTGACTGACATTGCACTATGTGCTCTCTCTTGAGTTTCTTCTTCATCATTCCCATCAACAGAAATTCCAGTAACTTTGCCAGAACAAACTTCAGATACATGTGATTTAATAGATTTTGCTGAAGCATGTGAGTTTGCTGATTTAGCTGACAAGGCGCTAGGGGCTCTCTCTGTAGTTTTCTCATGTTCAGCCATATCATCAGTAGTAACACCAGAGGCTTTTGACTTCATAGATCTTTCAGAAACACAGGACTGAACTGATTTGACAGACATGCAGCTTGTTGCTCTTTCTTCAGTTTGCTCTTTTTCATTTTCTTCATCAGGTCTCTCAAAGCTTTCTTGAGCTGGAATATCAGAACATTTTGACTTTTGTGACTTAGCAGAAGTATTTGACTTGACTGAATGAGCTGACATTGAGCTCACTCTCCCTTTGTTCTCTGCATCAGTGATTTTAGCACTGTGTTCAGAGGTGATGTCAGAAGCCTTTGATTTCTTAGAAATTTGAGAAACATTTGACTTTGCTGATTTTGCTGATTTGACTGACACATCATCAGAATCATAAGCATTTTCTTCAGCTGGGACAGCAAAAACTTCTGACCTATTTGATTTTGCAGAAATATTTGACTTGGCAGACATTGCACTCTGTACTCTGTCTTGAGTTTCTGCCTCATCATGGCTCCCCTCAGGGGTGTTATTATCAAGAGGAACTTTAGAAGAATTTAATTTCTTAGATATTGCTGAAACATTTGAATTAGCTGATTTTCCAGATCTGGCTGACATATTGCTTGGAGCACGCTCTACATGTTCCTTGTGATCAGATACATTTCCCTCATCTGGACCATCCAGTCCTTTTGACTTTGTAGATTTGGCAGAAACAGTTGACTTTGCTGATTTTCCTGATCTGGCTGACATATTGCTTGAAGCACGCTCTACATGTTCCTCGTGATCAGATACATTTCCCTCATCTGGACCATCCAGTCTTTTTGACTTTGTAGATTTGGCAGAAACAGTTGACTTTGCTGATTTTCCTGATCTGGCTGACATATTGCTTGGAGCACGCTCTACATGTTCCTCGTGATCAGATACATTTCCCTCATCTGGACCATCCAGTCCTTTTGACTTTGTAGATTTGGCAAAAACAGTTGACTTTCCTGATTTTCCTGATCTGGCTGACATATTGCTTAGAGCACGCTCTACATGTTCCTCATGATCAGATATATTTTCCTTAGTTGGACAATCCAATCCTTTTGACTTTGTAGATTTGACAGAAATAGTTGATTTTGCAGTTTTAGCTGACATGGCACTCTGTGCTCTCTCTACAGACTTAATAGATATTTCAGAAAC